GTAGTGTTTTGATCACTTTTAAATGTCTGGTGTCATAAAATACTCTTAATTAAAGCTGTTATTATATTTAATCCAGAATCCTTAATAATCTAAACTACATGCCAATTACACAGTAAATCTCCAATCTGCTTCTGAATCAACACCTTCAAGCAGTACATGTTCATTCCAGCTAAATATAGGAACAGTTTCCTCTCCTTCAAGATCATATCAGTTATGACTAAGCTTTTTTACACTTATTTTTTGGGTGTGGATATTCTCATAGTAGATTCTCTATCATCAGAAATTTTTTTACTTTCTTTGATCATACAGAGAATTACATTTGTTGTGCCAGACTACCTCAAAATGGGAAACAAAGTTAGGACACTGACTTTCTCTTTTTAGGGTATAGATACAATAACTCATTAGATACATCAGAGTTGTTTGAAGATATATTCAAAGCTGTTTGAAGATAAACCATAAAGAGAGTACTGCCTTATTGAATTATTTTGGCAGACCTACAACTTAGCCTTATGTATAAATGCTTGATTTAAAGCCTCACAGTAATGGCAAATATGTTGCTTTTGGTAATGCTTTCACCTAACTACTATCACTATTAATAAGATGCTTAGTTCGTCCTCCCACGTCAAATTTTACCTTTCTTTTGATTCAGCCCTGCTTTACAGAATCTTGAAAAACAGAACATCTAAGCCCAACCCTCCCAAAAGGCAGGATCAACCTTTTCTACAACAGTTCTAAGAAGTATTTGCCTAATCTGCTATGGAAAAGTTCTACCTCTTAGGTAATCTACTCTAAAATACCTTCAGGAAGTTTTTCCTAACATTTAACCTAAATCCCTTTAGCTGCAATTTAAGCCTATTGTCTCCTGTCTTCTTCACACAGATTACATAGAATAATTTCCTCTCCAAAATAGCCTCTAATATTCTTAATGATCACAATATGGCTCCTTTTAAAAAGTAATCTCTTCTCTAAACTAAACTAAACAGCTCTAATTCATCCAGTCTTCAAATACTGTGCTTTCCATATCATCAGTCACCTTTAGTGCTCTCCTCTGTGACTCACAGCTTTTTTTCAAGTACAATCACCAAAACTGGGCTGAAAACTTGGTCAGGCTGAACCGAAAATGAGTCTGTTTTGCACACAACAGTCCATTTTATACATGTTACAGTTCAGTTTAGTCTTAGTTTAGCACCATCAACTTGCTCTCAGCTTTCTACTTACATTTTCTAAATATTAAACTGCCTAAGGGCAGCCTAACATCTTGTATTTGTGCAACTCCTAATTTGTGAGATACAAAACATTTGCTATAATTACCTTTTTCCCCAAGATCTCCCAATAAATACATTTAGTTTACTTTGACCTGGCTTTTAACTTCCATGAACTAACTCAACCTACCAACCCAGCGCAAAACTCTACTACTGAAGAAAAAAAAGAACTTTTTTTTTTTTTCCAATTTAAGCTTAATCAGATCAGTAAAAGCCTGTATGGATTAGCAGAAGGGTAGAGAGTGAACCCCTCAGCTCTTTGCTTTAACAACTGCAAATGAAAATGCAACCTTAGCACCTAAGTTCGCATTTTTCTGTATTATTTTTTCTTTCATCTTTGCCTTCCCTGTCCCATATAGTTTTTTAGTCTGCAAATTCAATAAAGGTCATAGAATCATAGAATCCTAGGGGCTGGAAGGGACCTCGGAAGATCATCTAGTCCAACCCCCCCTGCCAGAGCAGGGTCACTCAGAGTACATCACACAGGAACGCATCCAGGTGGGTTTTGAATGTCTCCAGTGAAGGAGACTCCACAACCTCCCTGGGCAGCCTGTTCCAGGGCTCTGTCACTCTTACAATAAAATTTTTTTTTTCGGATATTCACCTTGAACCTCCTATGCTCCAATCTGCACTCATTACCCCTTGTCCTATCACTGGTCATCACTGAGAAAAGCCTAACTCCATCTCCCTGACACTCAACCCTTACATATTTGTAAACATTGGTGAGCTCACCCCTCAGTCTCCTTTTCTCCAGGCTGAAGAGACCCAGCTCCCTCAGCCTTTCCTCATAAGGGAGATGTTCCACTCCCTTAATCATCTTTGTAGCTCTGCGCTGGACTCTTTCAAGCAGTTCCCTGTCCTTGAAAGGTAATCAGATGTTTTCTCCAACTCACTAATAAAGAGATTCCCAGGAATCCTGCTTTCCATTTTGAAAACAAACAATTCTCTAAATACATTTTGTTAAATGTTTGTTAATGTCTCTGTTTTAACCAACTCAATAATAGGCTTCAATAAATGCTATCAAGTTAAAATTACTTTAATGCACCTGATTTATATAAGCAGTCTCTAGCTGCTTGTTCTGTACCTGACCACTTTCTTCTATGTCACTGATCACATGTAACCATTTAATCAAGTTGAGTGCTGTGCTAAAGACAGAGTGAAAGCAAGCATTCAAGCTCACTTCCTCCTTGTTCAGCTGAAGACAACCAACTCCCTTGCTCATTCATCTCCTGCTACTGCATTTTCATTAATCATTTTGCCCTTCACCATTTGCATCTCATTTAATGTATTTAAAATTTTGTATCAAATTTTAGATTAAGTTTATTTTTAGAATTTTTAGTCATGTACTGCAAGAACAGGTTATTTCCTGCCATATAACTTTCTTAACAGGTACTGGAACTGACACCTTCCTGCGCCTTGAGGGAGATCACTAAAAGGAAAACCAAGATAATTCAAGATTATTTTCACCCTTAGCTCTTACCTTAGCTCAAGAGGTTTCTCTCCTACGTGCTGTTTCTTTCAAAGCAAGAAAAAAAATCCAACAATCCTGGTATACAGGCTGCCTTTCCTTGGATAAAAGGTATCCTTCAAAACTGTATGACAGTAATAACTTTAAGTATACCCCATAACTTTAGTCTGTCACTGTAAAGGTGGATTTATTCAAATTACTCTGCAGTAAGCCTTCTGACAACTGGCACCAGAAGAGGGATAATATTTAAGCAATAGTATTACAATTGCCACACATGGCCCTGGTCAGTATCATCATATATGTACATAAGGACTAGTCTTTACCTCTTCCACACTTCTACTTGCAGCTCTTTTTTTCAGTGACATAATTCATTATCTTGCCAACAAAAGCTTATATTCATTCAGTGATTGAACATGATTCCTAGAACCTAGAGCCTCTACTTTCTAAAACTGGGTGATACATTTCATATACAAGTTCATTATACTGTAATTATTGTTTTGCTAAACTGCTTGCTGATTAATCTCACTTATTATTCAAGAAAGCTCATGAGTTTTTCTAAAAATTGTTATACTTCCTACTAGTCTTCTGAATTGTGTGTAATCTGGAATTTTTTCTGAATAAGTTTGTACTTTCTTTCAGATTTCTTATGGCATTGAGAACTGGACAATGAATCCATTCCAGAAATGTGTCTAACGATTCCATGGAGCTTCAAAACCATGCTTTTTTTTCCTTCAGTTCAGATAATAAAGCATGATATAGCCTTATACACTATTATAAACCTAGAATTTTATGCACATTTAGAAAAAAAGCAGAATGTAAAATTTGCCTGACACAGAAGTGTCCTGTTTTACTAATGTTCATGGAAAATAAAAATGGAACTGACTTTCTGATTTTGAGTTCCACTATTGTCATAAGATGCATAAAAGTTTGAAGTTAAAAGGTTTGAGCTCAAAGTTAACCATCTGCATTTCAATACCAAGTCAGAACATCAAGAAGACTTTCCAAATTAGAGGTCAGAACAAGGATGCCCCCTCCACAGAATTCAATCATAGGCCATGAGTGTTTGTTTGGTGAGGCAATGCTTTGGTAGCAGGGGAGAGGCCCCACCGGTGGCTCCTTGTAAGAAGTTGTTGAAAAGATCCCCAGCTCCAAAAAATGTGGCCACACCTTTGGCTAAGGCTGAGCCATCAGACACAATGGATGTGCATCTGCAGTTAACACATGAGAGAAGAGGAAACAATTGATGTAAGACCTGAGAGCAGAGGAAAGGGGATGCTGGAGAGGAGATGAGAACAATGCCTGAGATGTGAGAGCAATGCTATGGCAGAGATAACAAGGCTGGTGAGCAGGTAGGGGGAAGAGGTGCCCAAGTGGAGGTTCCCTGCAGCATCCTGGTAAGATGGCAGGCTGCCCCTCTGCAACCCGCAGTGGAGCACAGTGGAGCAGATGCGGATTTGCAGCCATGAAGGAGCACGTGCCAGGGGAGCTGGCTGCTCCTGAAGTGGGGGAACCCCGCGGGAAAGCAAAAGAAAACTATGAGGAATCCTTCACCCTTGAGGTGGAAGGAGCAGCAGAAAACAACATATGATGAACTGACTCTAAATCCCGTTCCTTGTCCCTCTGTGCTACTGGGGGAAGGAGGCAGAGAAATCAGGAACAAACTAATTTGGGCTTGGGAAGAAGGGAGGGGTGGGATTAGGTATTTAAGCTCTTGATTTGTTTTGTCTTTGACCTGTTTACATCTGATTAGTGAGAAATTAAATTCATTTTTTACCCAAGTTGAGTCTGCTTTGATGGTGACCATAAATACTGAGTGAACCCTCCCTGGCCTTGCTTTGACCCACAAGCTTCTGGTTGGATTTTCTCCTCCTCCTCCCATGGTGGGGGGAAGGGTGAGCAAATGCTTGCATGGGTCTCTGTTGTGAGCTGAGCAGCCCAGGGGTTCGTTTTTGTTGACTAGGCCTATAATTTGACACCATGTCATTTCAAATCCAGAAGCTTGCCCAATTACAAAGACGTAATTAAAGGACATTTAGAAGGACAAATATTGCCTCATTTGAAAGAGTGAATGCTGTCTGTACAATTTATTTATATACTGGCATCCTTACATTACTACAATGATTAAGGCAAACTAATTTTATTGGGATTAAGAAAATCTACATTTAAACAATATAGTGTCCACATTTACACACAGGAAATACAAAACTATTAAAAAAATTTTAAACTGCAATGTTAACTGAAGATCTACACAACAGCTGCTGTAATCTTACCTTCCTTTTCTTTAGGTTTTAAAGCTCTTTCTTCTTTCTTCTGCTTTGCTTCCAGCAATTCACGTTTCAGCTGTCGTGCTTCTTTACGTAGCTCCTCACTGAAAAGAGAAAAATATTTACAAGAATTCAGTCTTCTGGGAATATAAATTGACTCAGCGGAAACAGAATCCAAGCTAACAGGCAGCAAAAAAATAGCAAAAAAAAAAGCACAACCGAAATAAGGGATTACAGATCACTCTCTACGTGTCCCCTACATCTTTGAAGCATAGGTCCTTACATATAGAAAATTTAACTCAGGTTTCATATATTTTAGCTGTTGGCTTGCAGCAGATGATGCAGTTGCCTCCTGTCCCTGGAAAGTTTCTGTTGCTACAGAGGCATAGCTTTGTCTGCTACATGCTTTGTCTCACTGCTCTCTCTGTCCTGTTGCGATGCTGCAGGTTCTTCTCCTCTTACTTTTCCTCCGTTTCTTCCTCTTCTTGCCACTTTCCCTCCACTTCCTCGACACAGAGGTACTTCCAGAGCAGTCTTCCCTTCCTCCACACATAGAGGTACTTCCAGAGCAGATGTAATTTCCTCCACTGCCTACTTACCACCATTCTAAAGGGTGAAGATTCACACATGGAAATAAACAAGTAACATGCAACTGCTCTTTCTCTTCCTAAAATGGCCTTGCTAATGTTGCATTCAAAATAAAAAAGTATTTTCTTCCTAAATTTTGAAAACAGAAAAGCAGCTCATTCTTTAAAATTATAACATTTTATCTCCACAGTTCATGAAGAACGTTACAGTGAAATTGTTTAAGTACTAAGCTGGACTCCACTTCGCATAAATTTCTTGTAAAACTAGACTATATGGACCAAATTACCTACTGCCCGTGATTTGTTTTTATAGCTTTTGAAAGTAAACTACTTTTTATGTAAATGAAAGCTGTAACTTTCCACATACTGGCTAGCACCAGCTTATATGTAAACAGCTTTTAACTTTTTATCTGAAGTTGCTTGGGCTAATTTTTCTGTAATTACTACAGCCTCTTAACTACATGACCCTTAGTATCTTTCTTCTGACTGAAACATCCTGAAAGACAACAGCTGTTAAACAACTTTACCAATAGTCTTATACTATTGTAGGGCCAAGCACAATGGTCATACTGTCTCAACCATCTATTGCGTATTCAAGATAAAGCAAAGAAATAATCCTGTGTATATGTGAGTGTGTATAAGCATGTGTGCATACAATATATTGAATATCTCCACAGGCAAGGATTACTGATCATATTATTTTTCTTTAAGTAACATTGCTAACACTCTCTGGGACACTTAGCTCCAAAAAGCACTATTAAAAAAAAAAAAAAAAGTTCATCCAAAAAATTACCTGTTAAAGTAAAAAAACTAGAAGGAAACAGTAACATCAGAAGAACTGCTCAGTTTTCCTACTCATATCAGAGTTGACTGAAATCAATATTAATTCTGCAGAAAATTGAAAAACATCTAGCCAGTTTCCAAACATCTAGCCAAACAGCTAGTTTTAAAGGAAACGACGTTCTAGCTTTAATCACTTCTGTCTACTTCAGAATTTCCTACAGTAGTTCCATAATCGAATGTGGACTTCAAAATCAGACATCCTGATGGGTTCCAACATTCCCGTAAGGCTTTGCTAAATGTGTGCCTGGTATGATACTTTTAACTCACCAAAGAATGCAAGGTCATTACTACACTGGGTACTAACATTATTTTCCACAATTAGTCTAAATCAACCTCTTAGTCACTTCTTTCCAAACTGTCATTCAGCAGTTGTATTATCCTGCAGCTACAACCTGCCTTTCTGATTTCCAATTCTATAACCTGGTATTTAGTTGTATTGCAAAGTGGTTCTATTGCATTGTGGTAGGTATTCAACTAAAGTAATTTGTAACAGTCTGTTTTTATGTACCCTGTTATTTTCTCATGGACACTGTTAAAAATAAAAGTAAGAATATCAGTGCTTTTAAACAAATGTTTGACACAGACCTACCAACCTGCACTTTAAAAACTGTATCAACTTAGTTATTGTTATAAATAGAAAAAAAGCAACTCCTTTTAAATCTCTATGATCCCCTCCCTTCAGTTTCTCCCAAAGGTACATAGTTATGTACTACTGACAAAATTGCACTAGTCAGCAATAGTTACAAGTTCAAAATTTTTTTTCTGCTCAATAGCATACCAAACAACACTACAGCTCACTATACATCATTGTGAGTGAAGCCAGTCTAACCATCTCTCTCCATCACATCTTTTGCCATGATTACTGTGCAATTATCATAGTTTTTTTCATCTGTAGTAAAAATCAACACTAGTAGAGCAGAAAGCATTGCATTTTCAGCAAGATTCTTAGGCCTGCTATATGAAAATGCTTAATTTAAAAAGATGCTGCCTAATGGAAGTTAACTTTTTATTCCACTTTTCCCCAGAAAGAACAAGTATCTATTGAATAATTTTTCATTTTCTATATAAAAATTTTACCACCTTACTATAGCAGATGACTTAATGTATAACTTTCCCTAAGAATTTTCTCCCTCCTTTATAACTGAAACTGCTTAAGAATGCCTCTTTGCTTAATTTAAACATCATGACAATGTAATCCATATTTTGCTCTTTCTTGTTAGTACATGTACTTTAATTTGACAAATTCTTAGCCACATCCTTTTTATTTTTCCCTGATTTCCTATTTTTTTTAAAAATCACAATGTGTCCTTCCCAGTCTGACTATTACACATCCCATTTGGATATCCCTGAACAATTCCTATATTTTGATAACTTCATTCTGTGTTTCATTTCCCAATTCATTTATGCAAATTAATTGAAATGCTGCATCCAGAGAGTTGTGGTCAATGGCTCCATGTTCAATGGTCAACACCCCCAAGTCCTCCTCAGAGCTGCTCTCAAGCCATTCTCCAACCAGCCTGTATTTGTACTTTGGATTGCCCCAACCCAGGTGCAGGACTTCATGCAGTTTCCACTGGCTCATCTCTCAAGCTTGTCCTGGTCCCTCTGAATGGCCTGTCTTCCCTCCAGCTTGTCAAGCACACCACACAGTTTGGTGTCAGTGGCAAACTTGATGAGGTTGCGCTCAAGCCCACTGTCCATGTTGCTAACAAAGACATTAAACACCACTGGTCCCAGTACTGGCCCCTGATGAACTCCACTCATCACTGGTCTCCATTTGGACATCGAGTCATTGACCACAACTCTTTGAGTGCGCCCATCCAGCCAGTTCCTTATCCACCAAAGTATTCTTTTTCTTAAATTTATTAATTATATTTTTCAATGTCTGTCATATCATTAACATCCATGATTATTCTAGAACTGACAGGTAGACACCTTGATATTATTAGAGACAGTGAGGCAGAACTACTCTTCAGATGATAGCCTGATACTCGTGAAAAATGCATAACATTGTGTTTGGGAATTCCAATTCCAAGTTAAAATATTTCCAAATAGAGAACTCTGTTGATAAAACAGACATTTAAAATGTCATCCTAGCACAGTTAACTGATTTGCAGAATGTGTGGAACAGTCAAGGGAAAAGTCTGCTCTACAATTTCAGTTTTTAAGCCTTTTCTGATATTGCCCCTTCTGCCCCTTCAGGTACCTGCAGAACATAAAAGTCATGGAATGGAAAGCAAATTCTCCCATCTGGCATGTAGATCTGAGATTTTTCTAGGGTTCATTAGTCTTTTTTTTTTTTTTTTTTTTTTTTATGTCTGGATTAGATTACATTACTGTTCATCTCTGGGACTGGAAGAATTTTAAAACTGTAAAAATGAGAATGCAAATAATGGGTTTGGAATACACACTGTTTCTTTTTGCCAGCCTGGTTTTGCTGTAGGAGTCAGACATGTGTCTCTCATCTGCAAATGGTACATTGCAGTGGTGTCTCAAACAAGATGATGATATAAAAATGGTGGAAGACATATTCAGCAGGTCTTGACACTGGAAACTTGCCAGCTAAGTATTTCAATAGCTGGCCCTTGTGCTAATGCTAACAGTTAATGCTGGCTTTGGCTTTAACAGTACTAGGTATATTTCAGCTTGCAATTAGTACTGTAGCTTTGCTTGAAAGACTTCTGCACTAAAGACTTTATGGATGATTTAGAAGTATTTCCACATTTTATCTAGGGCTACTGAAAGATTTCAATGCTGAAATCTAATAGGACTGGCATGTTTATTAAAGACTACATGGGCAACCATTTCTGTCTTTCTATTTCCATACATCTGAATGTAAATAAGCACATCACATAATAAAGGCATCAGATAATTGGCACATTTATTTTAATGTAATTATGCGTACTGGACTATACACTGTATGTCAGCAGTCTCAGTACTGAGCAATGACCTCTCACAGGCTGATGAAGAATGTTACCATTTTACTCTGTTGGGAGAAGCTTAGCAAACAGCAGGGTCTGCAGACTGAGCATGAAGTACAAACTTGGACAAGAAATAGAAAGATACTAAGGGAGAAGCAATATATTTCATTATGGCAGCTAAGACACATGGAGAGGGAAAAAAACCTCACAGGTTTCAGGGCACATGAGCTCGTCTTTGGCCAGTTTATTTTTCTTGCACAGTTTGCTTAATAAAAGGTATCAGCTTTCCCTGCAAACCTTCTTTGCTTACATTGTTCTGCCACCAGTTACACTGCCAGAAATGGCAGATGTATGCATTAGGGCATATATAGATGCATACATCATAGTTTCAGCTTTAGGGTGATTTTATGCACTATCTGTACTTCTAAGATCACAGCAGATGCTTGAACAGGGAATTTAAATTTTATCCATGTAAGATAAGAACCCAACTTTGGCTAATGTAAGGCTACACTGTTAAACTAAAACCAACAGCAAAACTGGAGGACACCGCCAGCACCTCTCACTCAGGTCAATTGTATATATATCTGGATTACATGTACCTCTTTACTTTTTTGTAACAGCATGCCACTTCAGTCGTTAAGAGCTGTTGTGATTACGAAGTTTCCCTGCTCTTCTGTCACTTCTGAATGATGGCTTGCTGGATGAATTTTTGTTTTAGTTCCTTACCACATGATCCTATCACTGTTAAGCTTC